ACGGTTGGAAAGTCAGCTAGTAGGGACACAAGGTGTCCGCAGCTGGTGCTGGCAGTAGGAGCCTGGTGGTGTAGTGGACGACCAGGTGGGCAGCTTACAGCAAGAGAAGGCTGGGGCTTTCTGCCTCCAGACCCACAGCCTCGGAAACCCGCTAGTGGCTCTCCTGTGCCCTCTAGGGTCCCTGGGAAGCCTGCCCGAGGCTTGCATTGTATGTGGAACGCTGGCAGTTAGGACAGGCATGGTCAGGGCCTTGGGCGGAGGCAGCAGTGAGCTGCATGTTTCATGCTGCATTTTCGGTCTGGGTGCTGCCTCATTTACATTTGCAGGTGTGGGCACTGGACAGTGTCTTATTCATCAAAAGGGGTGTCTGGGCTGGCTTGCCCCTTTGTGCTCTCCTCCTGAAAGCTGCCTTTCCTCATTTTCCAGGCATTTCCTGAGTGGTGAGCCATCCTCACTGCACACAGTGCACAGGTGTGCATGTGGATGTTCATGGGGGTGGGATCCAGGTGCCATGGAGCCAGCTCTGATGCAGTGGCCCTGTGCACAGTGGCGGATACCCTGCCCACCCTCGCAACCTGTGGTCTCCTGCAGGGTCTTCCTCTTGTGCTTTAGCAAGGACGCTTGGCTTTAGCAAGCATGTTTATTAGAGAGTGCTGTGCAGGCCCAGTGCACCCGTCTGCATTGCTGTCTGCCTGTGAGAGCTTGCCGGGAGGGGCAAGCCTGGCAGGGCAGGGGCATGGCAAGGACAGTCTGTGTCTCGGGGCATCCCCTGTGTTGGGCTCACGTCACTGCTGTTGGCAAGCAGTGACACAGAGCCCTGGGGGCCAGCCTCCTGCATTTCAAAATTTTACCTTTCCTACCTTGCTGTAAGTGTTCCTTCTTCCCAGAATCGTTCTCTCCAGTGTCTTGTGCACAACTCTAAAATCCAGAACGCTTGGGAAATGGGATTTTCGGTGTGATGCAGCTGAGAGCAGAAAGGGGTCTGAATCGACATGACGCGCAGGATAGAGTGTTGTGGCGCAGTAGTTGCACGCTCCATGCAGCCGAGGGACAGAGGGATGGGCAGTCTGCACCCAGCCAGCCGCTGCTCCTTGGGAGACACAGGCATGGCCTTAGGAGCCCCGGGCATTCTGCCCTGCCCTGTGTGACGGAGAAGGCTGTGGAAGTGTGACACTGAACTCCGGACACACCTGGCGGCAAGCCTTCAGATGAGGACTCTGAGTCTTTGTGCATTTCACTTGCTCTTCTGATTACTTTCTCATCGTACCGTTCACTTACTCTGCGGCATAACCCATGGGCTGTGCATCGTGCTCCCCACGAAGTTCTCAGGGACTAGAGATACTGGAGCTGGACGTGGGGCAGAGTGGGCAGAGTCTCGGGCATCTCCCGAGTAAGAGGATGAGTTGACTGGACGGCATGGCCAGGCAGTGGGAGGAGGGAGACCCGCAGCCTTGCCCGTCCACACCGACAATGACACAGGCATGTCCCGCTCCTCCTTGGCTTCTCTTGTCGTCCCCAGTGTCCGCGTGGTGAAGTGCTGAACTGCTGAACTGCTCTGGGCTCAAGAGCCCCCCAGAGTCACCTTGACTGGACAGCAACTAGCAGCAGTGACAATGAATGGGTTTTCACTAGCACATATGGCGGCACAGTGGTTAAAGTGAAGGGTTCAGACCCCACATGGCTCTGGGGGAGGAGGACGGAGTTGGTCATCTTTCTCCCTTTGTCAGGGTGACAGCTGAGGGAACCTTCTGGGCGACTGGAGACTGGCTAGCACCGCTCCCTCGGGGTTCTGAGGCTGGGAGGCTTTATGGGCGCAGGCGACCTCATCTTTCTCCCTCAGAGCAGCTTGGTGGTTTCCAGTGGCTGACCCTGTGGTCAGGGCCCAGCACTTAACCTACTGCACCACCAGGGAACAAAAACAAAATGTCATTCGTTCCTCTTGGGGGTTTGTACACCCGCCCATACAGCCTGAAGTGTGATGGAAACCCTTTTAGTCAGGTCATTTCAACTTCAGCAGTTTTGCTTTTTGTTGGTTACCGTGAAAATGTTGAACATGAATGTTTTTTGTTGTGTGTGAAGTGTGTGTTTGTTAGCTAATTATGAACTTAAATATGAAAAACATCTAGATTCTTAAAAGTAGAACTTCCTGAAGTCCCTTTTAGTTCAGCCTATGGTATAGTTAATTTATGAGGGTCTTTGAAAAGTTTAATTTCACCCCCCAGGGATTTTGGCCTCCTCTGCATCTGTGGTTGTGGTGATGGTTCACTAGAAATGGGTTGCCTGCCTTGGTCATTGAGGGAATGTGTGCTTGTGTGCGCGTGCGTGCCCCGTGTAACAGCATCTTGTGTAATAGCATGCACATGTGTGTCAGCTGTGTAAAGTACCATCTGTGGCTGACTGGTGTCTCAGCAGTCTGTCTGGTCTGTCCAGCTACACCAGTGTCACTCTATCACCTGGGTAGTATAAAGATGTCTCTTTACTGTCATTCTTAGATCAAGTCATTTTCCTGGTGACGGGAAACTGGGTGGACAAGGAGTTATCAATGCTTTATTGCCATACACCCCTCCCACAGCTGAGCAGCAGTGCCCTGGGGGGTTCATGCAGTGAACTTTAGGAAAGCCGCACCCAGAGGCTGCTGTGGGATGGAAGGGTGGTCTTGACTTGGAAAGATGTTCCCGCATACAAACGTTCCCAGGCACTCATGGGTAAGGCCTGGGGTCCAGGGCCCTGACTGGTGGAGTGGGGAGGCCAGGAAGGTGATCAGAGAGCCCGGTGGGTGCTCGAGTGTTAGGTAGGGCAGTGTCCAGTGGCCCTGGAGACCCCTCCTCAGGTGTTTCTTCCCAACTCACCCCCTCCCGACTGCTGTCTCCCAGGTCCTTGTGTGCTGCGTGTGGGTCTGTGCCTGCAGGAGCTGCGCTCTTGTGCTTCCCCACATTTGGTTTGAACTGCGGGTGCTGTGACTGCAGCAACCCCTTGGGACAGATAGATGTCAGACTGTCTGCTCTCTGCTGGCAGGTGGAGAGCCTGGGAAACTTGACCGGACTGGCTCCTTTGAGGTGCCCAACACCCTAGTAGGGGATGGACTTCTCAGTCAGAGTCAAGGTGTCAGTGTGTACATGTGGCGGTGGTCAGTTCTGCCAGCCATGGCACCCCCCACCACCCGAAACTGCTCTTGTACCTGTGGTAAGGGTTGGTGAGAGGGTGCTGTTACTCTCACTCCACCCTCCTACCTCCCAGCCCACCCCTAGCCTCAGGCTCATCTCCTCTGGAAGTCTTCCTGGACCTGCCTGGGTCAGTGGGAGGGTGCTGTCAATCTTACCCCTCCCCCCAGTGCCCCTCCCAGAAGCCCTCCTGCACGTGTAGGAAGGGTCAGTGGGAGGGTGCTGTCACACCCCTCCCCCAGCCTCAGGTCCGAGGAGGGAAGGGTGCTGTGTGTCCCTCCATCTCCTGGCTTCAGCTCCCCCTCCTCCCCAAGCCCTCCTGGCCCTATGGTAAGGGGCACCGGAAGGGTGCCTGTTGGAGAGGCCCTTTGCCCTGTGGTGGTTCAGACTCAGGTCAGGTTCTGGACTCAGCCAGCACTCAGATATCTCAGGTCTCTGATTGGCTGCTAAGTCTGTGTGTGCACATGCTAAGTCTTTTTTGGTGGTGTGGCGGTTAAAGCTATTATCCGCAAATAGTGGCACTGTGGGAAGATTTCGTTATCTTTCAATTCCACTTATCATTGAGTGATTTGAGCCCCGCACATGGAGGAGATCTGATCCAGGGGTTATCAGAAAACTCAGTGACATCAAGTCAATGCCGACTCCTACTGAGTGACCTTCTAGGCCAGGGTAGAACTGCCACTGAGGTCTTGTGAGACTACGTCTTTACGGGAGCAAACGCCTCAACTTTCTCCTGCATATTACTGATGGCTTCGAACTGCTGGCCTTGCAGTTAGGTTTGTTTTTTTTAAAATCATTTTATTGGGGGCTCGTACAACCCTTATCACAATCCATACATATGTCCATTGTGTCAAGCCACATTTGTACATTTATTACCATCATCATTCTCAAAACATTTGCTTTCTGCTTGAGCCTTTGGTATCAGCTCGTCATTATTTTCCCCTCCCTCCCCGCTCCCTCCTCCCTCATGAACCCTTGATAATTTATAAATTATTATTATTTTGTCATAGCTTACCCACTTCCTTCACCCACTTTTCTGTTGTCCAGCCCCCAGGGAGGAGGTTATATGTAGATCCTTGTAATCGCTTCCCCTTTTCCACCCCTTGCAGTTAGTATTTTAAGAGTTGAGCAACCTGGTGGCTCAGAGAAGGAGGAGGGATTGTGGGTGGGCCCAGCTGAGCAGCCAGGTCCTTGGCGTGGGTAGAGAAGCCCTTTGGTGATGGGTGGTGGCTGTGCCTGCGCCACAGTCCAGGGAGCAAGGGCAGGGGCGCCCACCATGTAGTGAGGGTTCTGCAGGTCCTCATGCACGATCACCCTTTTGTCACTGGAAGTCAGTTTGGAGGAGTCTCCGTGGCTTTGCCTGGCTGTGTCCAGACAGTTCACAGGGCTGGGCTGCTTGGCGCTATCGGCATTTGAGTTCATGAGTGGGTTTGTGGGGGGCAGGAGGGACACAGCCCTCTTGCTGGTCACAAAGCAGCTGTCCCTTCGGGTCAGGGCCAGCCAGCTGCCCTACACTTGTTTGGCGCTCACCTTTTAGAGTTTGAATAGCCAAGTCTTCAAGCAGGGTGTGTGTGCACAGGCCTGTATGGCTGGGGTGTTTCACAGCTGTCACCAACGGTGGCCCTGGCTAGCCTTGCTTTTTACACATGGGCAAGAGGCAAGGAGAGGTTGTCAGCAGCTGTCCCAAGTGACCCAAGTCCGATTCCGGGACTAAACCCACTGCTCCAGGCCATCTCTGCAGGGTTTGGGGATGGATGAGGCGGGGATAGTCCTCGCCCCTTCTGCCACCAGCCACAGCGCGGTTTCCCAGGATGACCCCTTTTGTTTGCTTTCAGGACTTGGAGTTCCATGGAGTGATGAGGTTCTACTTCCAAGATAAGGCTGCTGGGAACTTCGCCACGAAATGCATCCGTGTCTCCAGCACTGCCACCACACAGGACGTCATCGAGACACTGGCCGAAAAGTTCCGGCCCGACATGCGCATGCTGTCCTCGCCCAAGTACTCGCTGTATGAGGTGCACGTCAGCGGAGGTCAGTACGGGGCAGAGCTGCTGGTCCTGGTGGCAGGGGACAGAGGTACAGTCCTGTGCACAATCCAGACACCACCCTCACTGTCCTGTGCCTCTGAGCCCCTTGCTATAGCCATGAGGCCCACCCATCCCTCGAGAGCCTTCCCCTTTTACATTGACCCCCTTCTGCTTCACCAAGCATGGTGTCCTCCAGAGACGGGTCCCTCATGTCCACATGCCCAAAGTAGGTGAGGCGCACATTCACCATACATACTTCTACGGCGCATTTTAGTGAGAAGTTAGTGAATAAAAATACAGTGAACCCTCGTTTATCGCGGTTAATCGGTTCTAGACCCTACCATGATAAATGAAATCCCGCGAAGTAGGATTCCTTATTTGTAAATCAAATATTTTCGTAGTTGGAGCATAGAGGACATGAAAAAACACCCTTTAGTCACCATTACA